TTTGCATGAGGGAAAATGAATTGCAGTAGCGGGAAAGATCCTGCTGATTCAAACTTTCAGAGAAAGGCTGGAATGATCTCTTGCACCATTTTCACATTTAGGTTAAAATTTTCAGTTTAAATCATCCCTTCATGAGGAAAGCTCCACTTTCAGGAATCATAACTTCTTCTAACCCACCTTCCTCCTCTTCGTGAGCAGAGCTTTCCATTGTGGGGAGCATTCACCCGTGGGAAGTGGCCCAGTCCTGTATCATGCCAACTTCTTCATAGATGCTGCCTCTATTATATTTTCTATTAGTTTAGATCATTTGGTCAGGTCTTTTTAAAGAACATACAACTCTGAATGGGTTTCATTGTTTTGGCATTATTGCCGATGGTCCCAAACATGTTTTTCACAAGCACACCATTTTAATATTTATTTATTTATTTCCCCCAGAGGGTCCCTCCATTGAGTTTTTCTCTTGCGTGTGGGTGTGGGTGAATGTGTGGTTCTCTTTCCCTGTTTGGATGCTGTTTAGCTCCCCAAAGGAATTGTATTCAGTTCTACAAGACTGGAAACAGAGAAATGAATGGCTGAGATGTAACATTTTATCTGATGAATACTTGCTGGTCCAGTATGGAATCATCTGCTCCAGATGCTCATCTCAATACTGAGGAGGGAAAATGGCCTGTTTCCATTTTGAGAGCACTAAGGAGCCCTAGTGGGGAAAGCAGGTGTTTAGCATACTATTTAGCTAGCACATGTGAGGAAACTGTAGCTAGAGACGTGAAGAGTCTCTGTGCCCTTGTGATTCCAGTTCAGCAATGGTGAATCTATGGCATACGTGCCACAGCTGGCATGCAGAGCCCTCTCTGTGGGCACGCAAGCCATAAGTCACCCTTGAGAAATACATACCCATCCTGCAATCCCCAATTTTGGCACTCCACTCTGCTGGTGCAGTGGTTCAGTGAAGGGGTGTAATGGCAGCCATTACTGGACTAGCCCAACTGGGGATTGGAGGACTGGTAAGTATTTATCTGTTAATATCACCCCTTGGGGGAAAAACTATTTAACCCTTGCAGTGCATGCACAGTTGTTTTTAAACAAGTTGATTTTGTGTTGCAGTTTGAGTACTCGGGCTCAAAAAGGTTTGCCATCACTTTTCTAGCTGATCCTGCCCATCTTGACATAACAAAGAGACTACCCCAGGATCCTTCACCCCCTATGTGAGATCTTGGCCTCTGCGTGCAACAGAGACACCCATTTTCCCAACAATAATGTTTGCAGCTGGCACAAAATTGAAACTAAGTGCACATATACAGGAAGCACAAGAAGTAAGGCTGGTTGATCACAATAACCCATACAGTGCTACTGTTTTTTTCTCTTTCATACAACAAAGCAGCAATATTCGTTTATACAGTATTGTGTGTTTCTTTGAATGCACAAATTGTGCATTTCTTCAAATGCACAAAATTCATTCACTTGCTTCAAGACTGACACCCATACACCTCTGCTCTCATGTCAGCTCACATCAAGAAGAAACATATAGAAACCTTTCTGGTTAATAGACTGGAACAAATTAAATCAGGATCCCTTCCTATCAGAGTTGGCACATTCAGATTTTTTTTTTACATCAAATCCTAGAAGTTGGGGCATTCCAAGGGTCAGATCCATATCCACAGACATCTAAGTGTGGAAGACCTGGAGAAAGGCCTAGCCGGAAGGCTTCTTGACTTCACAGGTCTTTGGAGTCTGACTCCCTTCAGATTGGATGGCTTGTGATCTCAAGGATTGTGGGAGTTGAAGACTAACATCATCTAGAGGTCTGAAGACTTTGAATCATGGGTGTAGCATCCTTCTCCTTGACCTCTTTGCTAGATTAACAGTATGTACTGTATATTTTTTTATGTTGAGAAGGATGGAGAAAATCCTCCAATCTCACTTTACTGTACACGTTGCAAAGCTGGGAGGGTGGGGGCTGGTCAAAACCATGGTGATGATTCAAGTCCATCTCAAGTGCAAACATACACAAATTAACATAAACATCCATAATTTGCCCACCCTCGTCGGGCCCACTCTGAGGGCATGCATAGCCTGTGGAGGAGAGGTGTGTAAATGCATGTGCCCACATGTATTGTGCACAGCTGTACAAAGCAAAGACTAGTTTAGAAACACATACTTGTGGAAATAATTTGACTGACACATGTTGCATTTTGATGTTTTTTGGTTCCGTTTAGCCTGCTGCCATGCCATGTCCTGTACATCTGGCAGTATATGACAGCAATCATGCAACTGGGGTGAGGACAGGCTTCAGCCATGCAATATCCACTATGCATTTTATAGAGCCCTAGGTTCCACCCTCTCGGGTACCATGCAAGAAGGATATGCTTTAAATGAAACTCTTCCCCCCAAAAAAACCACTTTGTTTCTCTGAGAAACTGCAGTCAACAGGCTTCCTTTTGAGCTTGTGAATTGCGCTCATGACTGTTCCATTCACCAATTTATTCTGCTTACTTCATACCTTTAGCTGTTTAATTTAAGGTGGTAGTGTGGGAGTTGGGAGTTAGTGGGTGCAAAGAGTAATGTTTATTCGCGAAGGCTTTCACAGCCGGGATCTAATGGTTGTTCTGGTTTTTTCGGGCTCTTTGGCCGTGTTCTGGAGGTTGTTCTTACTAACGTTTCACCAGTCTCTGTGGCCGGCATCTTCAGAGGACCACAGAGTGCTGTCCTCTGAAGATGCCGGCCACAGAGACTGGCGAAACATTAGGAAGAACAACCTTCAGAACACGGCCAAAGAGCCCAAAAAACCCACAACAACCAGTAACGTTGTTGCTAAAACATTGGATGTTAGAAACCCTTTCTGACATATGCAAAACTCTGAGGTCTATCAGTGATCCTAATCTGTCTTCTTCCACCCCTTACTGTCCCGCATAACACTTGTTCAAGATGGGTCAACCCAAATCTTTTTGATTACCAGTCCCGACATCCTGAATCATGCTGACTTTGGCTGATGGGAATTGTAAGTCCAAATATCTGGAACTGACAGATATGGATTCATTCTGGTGCTTTAGCAGGCCCCAGGCCCAAAGAGGTATATATCTGCTACCATCAACCACCTCCAATATGACTGCCCAGGACATCACCACCACCCAAATCAATGAAGGGTGATATAGAGATACCAGCTATTTTCCTCTGCCATTACATACATGAACTTGGATGAACTACTTCTGTGTTCCTCAAAGAGATGGGGAAAATCCATTTATAGCAAAAGGTCACTGTGGAACATATACCTCAAAGGTATACTCCTTTCTTGTAATCTAACTCCTACCATATGTAAATGGCACTCCACTTCTCATATAGTTGCTCGTCATTGGTGGTGCAGAAGAGCTGAAGCGAGTGTATTTGAAAATGATAAGCTTTGATAGCGTCAGTATCTACAAAGCAGAATTTCAACACATTCCTATCCACAACGATACAATCTTTTAACATTCAGATCAAGTGTTGTCTTGTTTAATAGACTTAGTCCAAGACAATCAGAGGTTTCATTTCATTTTTCTTTTCTTCTTTAGGAAATCAGAGTGGAGTTCACCTCTTGTGTTTCATGGACTTGGACAAGAAACATGTCTGAGTCTGAATTTGTCATCTAAATTTCATAGCTCCAACCATGATTTGGTTATGCTTAATTAAAGCTTCTTTTCTCAGCTTTTGGAAACTTAGTAACACATGAACATCAATGTTCAGAAGATAAAGTCTCTCTTTGGTGAACATGTTATAGTAAGAGTTTTTTCTGAAAGTCACAGTGGCTGAAATCCTGTTGCCTCGCATAATAAGTCACAACTAGAGTAGGCCCACTGAATCAGTGGGGATTGGATGAGTCAACTCCTCCCTAAGTTCTATTGATTCAATAGGCCTAGTCTAGTTGCAATGCTCCCAATGCTACATGACAAGACTTCAGCCAATAGAGATAACCAAAGCAAACACTAAAACCAACAACAGATAACCACAGACTGACTGTCCTGAGCAGACTAACTTCTTCCAGCCTCTAGCTGGATCTCTGAAGAAACCTTTCCCATTTAAACACAAGATAGGATTGCTTCTTAAAGAGAAAGGTCTCGCATAATAGAATGAGTTCCTCATAAATCAGTCCTCCTTGTAGAGGATTGGTGTGCTGATCAAAGTTTCTTCTTGGGATCTGATTCTGATATTTCAAGAGCCGGTGTGTTTTACCAAAAAATGAGTTCTTCTTAAGGAGCAAACAGGGAACTGGTGTCTTCACTCCATAATTGTCACTTTACATGATTCACTTGGTAAAAAGCACAGGTGGAGAAGTGGCATAACCAAAAGGTAGAATAGAAGTGTTAGTGATAACAAAAATTGTAGTAAAAAGAACAAAAATGTAAAGTGTCCAACCTCCATTATTAATTTCAACGGGTGAAGATAATGTGGAAATTGGTCATCAGCCATTGCTCTCCAGTGGCTGAAGCCACAGGGTAATTTATTTGCACACATGATAACAAGCATTTCTTCTTTTCTGAGTGTCTTCATCTTGATGGCTTAAAACAGGATCTCCCTCCAAGACAAAGCAGGTGACAACCTTCTGTAGAACATCAATCCTATTGACTTGCAATTAGCCCTTGCAATACAGCATTGTTAATTGGCACAGAAGAACACATCTCCTGTTGAAGAAAGCAAACACAGTAGTGGTTAACATGAAAGAGATGCAAACATGCAGGAATTGCAAAGCAAGCAGTTTGGGGAACGAAAGCTATCTGAAAGGTGTGTTGCATTTGTTGCTGAGCCGTTAGTGGAGAACTCATTGCTTGAAGGCAAGCCAAGCCCTTGATGAAATATTCCACCTTAATCTTCCCATGCAACCAAGCCCAAGATGTCAAGCACATATAAGGAGAGATCTCCTGCTCTCCTATCAGAGGGGGCTTGTGATTATCCTCCAGCCACTGGTCTTCTCTTCCTGCCTCCCATTCTTGGCATCCTAACTCTACTCTTCACAAGGAGCCACAATCATGAGCCGGCAATTCAGTTCCCGATCGTTCTCCACGAGTGGAAAGAGAGGCTACTCCGTTTCTACCAGTGGCTTCAGAACGGGCGGCAGCTCAATGTCGGCTGCACCGGTTGGAGGAGTGGGAGCTTCTTCTGGTGGCTTTGGCAGCAAAAGTCTCTACAGCCTTGGTGGAAGCAAGCGGATATCCATGGGCCTGGTTCAGGGTGCTGGTGGAGGAGGTCATTTTTCAGGAGGCTTCAGTGGAAGAAGTCTGGGTGGTGGCCTAGGAGGATTCAGCAGTTTGAGCACAGGTTACGGAGGCTTTGGTGGCAGGGCCAGCTTTGGCAGTGGTGCAGGCTTTGGCGGTGGTGTTGGCCTCAGCAGTGGCCTTGGTCTTGGTAGTGGTGTTGGCCTGGGCAGTCATCTTGGAGGCTTAGGTAGTGGCGGATACACCTTTCCGGGCCCGGGGCCCGCTCCGGCACCGGGACGGATCCATAATGTCATTGTTAACAAGAACCTGTTGGCTCCCCTGAACATGGAGGTCGATCCTGAGATCCAGAGCATTCGGATGCAAGAGAGGGAACAGATCAAGACCCTCAACAACAAGTTTGCATCTTTCATTGACAAGGTGAGGTGGGATAGAGAGGAAACTTTGTTGCAGAAGGCAAAAAGAAGAGGAGGCGATAACTAACAAACAAGCAATGAAGAATTTTATTTGCAGTGCAATTAATAGCATGCCATTCATGATATTAAATAATGCTTACTTAACTGTTAGGTGCTCCTAACTAGACAGGTAGATTAGCAAACTCGAATGAATTTAGCTACTCTTAGGCAGGTTGCGAAGCATCTCTCCTTTACTTGGAGATTGTCCAAAAGAGGTTTCAATAAGCATCATTAGCCCTAGGAAGAATGAGTTTGTCTGTGAACCAGATTATATGACTGATTAGTATTCTTCTAGCTGGGTAATTCTACTGATTTATAAATGTTCAAAAAGATCAGTCATAGCTGATCACACTTAATTGGTGAGATGCATCCCATTGCCTAATGTACTGTATCAGTATACGGATAATTTATTTCCATTTTCCCATCATGTTCACATGCACCTTGGAATGGGAACAGTTTTCAGCTTCATTCTCTCCCACATTTCAATGTTTACCATTTCTTTCTGCCTTGAATATTTTTTTCCAGTTTTGGAATAATGCTTCAAACTTCAGATGAAATGATATTCACCCTAACTCAATAGGTACAGCTATTTTGAGTACAAGAGACATTCGGTTGTGCTTGTCTGTGACTGAGATGATAATCACCATTTCTTTCTGCCTTGAATATTTTTTCCAATTTTGGAATAATGCTTCAAACTCCAGATGAAATGATATTCACCCTAACTCAGTAGGTACAGCTATTTTGAGCACAAGAGACATTCTGTTGTGCTTGTCTGTGACTGAGATGATAATCTCCCAGACAAAAGGAGGCAGCAACCCTAATTCAGCTCTAAATGATTGAATACACAGGGATTCAAACCCCTGACAGTTAAACATTCAAAGCTTTGGGCTTGGATGGATTGGGACTGTCAAATAGCTCAGTGGTCTAGGCATCTGGTTGCAGAGCAAGAAGCTGGGAGTTCAGTTCCTCACTGTGCTTCCTTGACAGAGAGTGGACTCGATGATCCAGAGGGCTGAACTGAATTGAATTTGATTGAATTTGACAGATCCACTTAGTCCTGCATGCCCCCTTTAAAAAAAGAGAATATCTTAAGTTCTTTCTATCCTGATTACAGAGAACATTATAAATCTTAGTGAACTGTTGCTTTTAAAAATGAACAGAAATAAAATTCATCAGTGCACACTTACCGTACTTTCTGTGCTATACAAGTGGCACTTAACGAATTGATTCAATGTGATGTTAGTGCTAATCTGTTTAGGAAAGTGCATATGTAGTACTATATTGCCTAATCAGGGAATGGGTTAAGCAGAGTGCTAGAGAACATGTGCAAAGTGCTGCATTCAACCTGCAACAAGTCTAGAATGAGAGCCAGAAAAGAGATCTAAATGAAAATTGGTCACAGTGCAAGGCTAGATTGACTGTTTGCTTCACTCAGTAGGGAGTTGCTCCTTTAAGAAAAAAATATACACAGATTTTCATATACTGCTCTAAATGAAAATTGGTCAGAGTGCAAGTCTGGATTGACTGTTTGCTTCACTCAGTAGGAAGTTGCTCCTTTGAGGAAAAAAAAAATATACACAGATTTTCATATACTGTACCTTTTCAGGCACCTTTAGCATTAAAATGCTGCTCATATTTACTTGAAAGAGGAGGGGGGGGGAAATGTCTAAATATCAGAGAGTAAACAAGAATGCTAGGCCTAGGGAAGTTGCACTGGGGAGGGATGGTTAGCATCTTCTGAAGCTTCGGTTACTCAGGTTGAGATTCACTAAGTAATGCGAACAATTCTTACATTTCCTTGGAGACCAAGAAAGACAAAGACATGCACCTGCTCTTTCTGTCTGAGAATATTTTCTCCAGAGCTGGAACTATGGATGGAGACAGATATATCACAAAAAACTGCCTTCATACCACAGCACTCACCTTCTCAGGAAAGGTTGGCTGAGGGGAAGCTTTGGGTGCCGCTGGTGGAAAGAGGCTCACCGCTCCTTCAGCTGCAGTACCCAACTGACTACTCTCCTCATCTGCCCTCAGGCAGGGAGTGAGTTCCTCCCCAGCAGCCAGAGGAAATGAAGCCTACAGCCATATATACCTAACTGGGTCAGTGGGCAGACATGTATGGAGTTTAAGTTATTGACTACAAGTGCCTGTACACAGGAACATAAATAAAGGGCTGATGATTTTTTTAAACAAAGAAAACACATTTATTTGGGGTTTCAGTGATGGATGGATGTCTCAGACCAGATACAACCATGATGGAAGCATTCCTTCATATGTGTGATCTTAAGAGAAAAGGATGCCATTTTCCTAAGTTGGTATCTCTCTCTCTCTCTCTCTATTTTCTTAAAGGTAACTTTCAAAACACTGTGTGATCTGATTAATAGATACTTTAATCAGGCAAAACATTTCTAATCTATAAATATAACCAGTTCATTGAGCAAATGAGGCAGGCCTCATCTGTAATTGAGAACGTTAAGGAAATTTTTAAAATGAGGAGAATCTAAAGTTGGCCTATCCCCTAGAGCAGTGGTCCCCAACCTTACATTAAGGAAATTTTAAATGAGGAGAATCTAAAGCTGGCCTATCCCCTGGAGCACAGTTTATCTCTGAAAACGTGGTGGTAATCTTTAGAATGAATTCTTTTTGGTAGTAGTCCACAGCAATTCGAGGGAAAGGAGACTTGAAAGATGGAGGTGGGAATGCTGCTATTTCTAAGTTGAAAAGATTGCATCCATTTGCAACCTGTCTCTATCAGTTGTGTCCGCACAGTATCTTTGAGAACGTGGTGTTAATCTTTAGAATGAATTCTTTTTGGTAGTAGTCCACAGCAATTCGAGGGAAAGGAGACTTGAAAGATGGAGGTGGGAATGCTGCTATTTCTAAGTTGAAAAGATTGCATCCATTTGCAACCTGTCTCTGTTAGTTGTGTCCAGTCAAGAACACTGGTCAACTCTGCAAGCAGCTCCAGGCCTTACCTTATCATATGGGGAAAGGAGGAGCAGTGCGGGCTCTTAGTGTTCACTATCCATCTAGCATGTCATGTCTGGAATCCAGTCTGTGCTTCTACTTTTATCTCCTAAAAATCTGTATATCGATGAACAAGGAAGTTCTTGTGAAAGGACAGATGCATCTAACCATCACACAGTGTTTCTACACTGAGGGAAATGTTTAAAGGCACCCTTCATGGAAAGATCCCAGATATGTATTACAGTGATTACGTTCTTGTGAAAGGACAGATGTATCTAACCATCACACAGTGTTTCTACACTGAGGGAAATGTTTAAAGGCACCCTTCATGGAATGTATCACAGAGCTTTCCCCATTGCCATCCAACCCAACAAAAACCTGGTGGCACCTTCAAGACCAAAAAACTTCCTCTGGCATCCACTGTTGTGGGCAGCCTCCTCCATCATGGGAGGCGCTGTGCTTTGCTTTGGATGAAGCTGGCCAGGTGCCACACGCGCTTGTGCCACATAAAACGTGCTAGCCTTGAAGGAGCCCCCCAACAGAGTTATACTCCTTTAAATGCTGGCAGTAGAATGCTTTCCAGGGGCTTCTCTCTGCCTGTGCTTTTTAAGACCAGCTGTTTCTGGCAGAGACTTCTGCTTCCCACCTTAGGAGAGAACAATCTTTTCCTTGCCAAGGGCTTCAGGACCTCCCCCATCTTGGGAATCCTCTGGCATCTGCAGCAGGCTCTGAAGGCAAGCAGGAAAATCATTATCCCATTAGTTTTTACAGCACTCCTTTAGGCTAAGTTCCTTATTACAATAGTTCTTGCTCTACAAAGGAAGGAGCACAAGCCATGAGACAAAGAGCCGTTCGCCCAAGGCCACCCAGAGCGTCCTTGGCGGAGGCGCAACTGGAACGGAGTTCCCACAGTTTAAATGCCTGCATTCTGCAATAACGTGAGAGTGTCTGAATTGGAGTGAGGGATATCTCTTAGGAAACATGTGCCTGTGGTGGTTCGCTTTGGAAATAATCATCATACAGACTTCCTACTAGTTGGGAAGTTTATTTTTCTTCTCAACTTTATTTTGCACTGACGTCTCCTATAAATCACCAGGTCGTTACCCAAATTTGTGTCCAAGACGAATGCAGATGTAAAACTGACAGAATGTTTCAGATAGGCTCAGTTATTCAGGGCTTTATGTTTGTGTATTTTTATAGTCCTTCTGAGGAGATGCCTTGAATGTAATTCAATAAGGAAAAATGTAAATATCCCCAGGGGGTTGTGTATTTTACATAGGATTCTTTGTTTCTGTACACATGCATATGAACCTATCTTCTCTTGAGCCTAATAACAGCCCCTTAGGTGATATACAAAGAACCAAACATTAACCATGGCTGACAATATTTACAACAACATGTATTGAAGAAGTGTTAAATCAGGTTCAGCACAGCTGATGAAATATGCTTCAGTTCTTCATAGTTATGCCAAAGGGATAATCTTTATGCTTAAAGCACAACCCTTAAGGTGGAAAGGCTAGTTTTAAAATTACAGCTCTCAGCATGCCCCTGTCCAGGGACATTGTGATTTTCTCCAATCAGAAGTAATTTTTTTTTCAAGTTCTGCTTCTTAGTATGCATCTATACTACACGTTAATAGCAGTTTGGTACCTCAGTATTTCTATCCTACAGGTCCCCGAGGTTTGTAGTTTGGTAAGGTCCTTGGAATCTCTGTCAAAGAGCTCTAATGCCCACCTATGAATCATAGCAGAGCATATGAAGGCCCCCATCAAACTACAAATACCAGCATTTCACAAGATGGAACCATGGCAGAGTGGAATCCAGCTGCTATAATAGTGTGCAGCAGACTGACATGACTACCTGTTACTTATCATTTATTTTATTTTAGAGACTCCCTTTTGATTGGGTTTACCTCAACCTGGATTAACAATAGACTGTAATCACACACTCCCATGCACGCACACAAAACTCAAACCCACTCAACCTTGTGATTATGAATCCTTTAGCCAGAGGACAGGACTAGAGTGTGTCTCCTTTGAGCTCTGCAAAGCAGAGGTCAGCATTTGGAAATGAACATATTGTATGGCAAGGAAGAGGGAAAGCTTGTTTTCTGCAGCTTCTTCAACTGATGGTGGGGACCAGGCAGGTCTTTACCGTCTACGTTGACCTTCCTGAGAAAGAAGGGTTACATCCTTCCACAAGTCCCTGGTTCTCAACCCAGTGACAAGGCACATTTCAGGTATGGATTATGAAGCATAGTGATCTTTGTGTATGGTGGGGGAAGCAAAGCCAAGATAAAAAGAGGCAACAGAACCTCTGTCACAAACCAGTAATTTATCCGAAGTGTGATAAAAAAAACTGAATGTATTGCAATGAATGATCTAGAACTACAAACCAGTAATTTATCCGGTGATAAAAAAACCTGAATGTATTGCAATGAATGATCTAGAACCAACAAAATCCTCCCAAAGTGGGAAGGAACTGTGATCAATAGGCAACATTCGATCCACTGGAATTTTTCCGGGGGTAGACAGGATAGGAGACCATCTCTGCCAGTTTCCCCCTCATCTTGTCCTCCAATCTATGCCTCATGAAAATCATCTGTGGTGTGTTGGAAGACCCTCTAGAGTCATGAAGAGATGGAGCAGGGGATGCCAAAGTTGAGAGGAAGCAGCAAAGAGACCCTTCCTTCATTTTCCTGAGTGGGGTGCTCTGAGTAGAATTCTGCCATCAGTGGAATATAAAATGATGAATTCAGAACAGAAGGTAACTGGAATGCAGCTGATGGCTTCAATAATTACATTCAGATTCAAAGATTTGCAAAAAGGCAAGTTTTCATTCTCCTAGTTCTTTCCCCACCTACATTTTTTTCCAGTTATAGATACTGTTGGTGGGGAAGTGCAGGTTTAGAAAAGCAAAAGGTCAATTAAGCTGGAATATAATAACATTTGCTTTCTTTGCTTGTTTTTGAGAAAAATGTATCTTTTATGATTTAAGTGTTCTTCAAGACTAACATTTAAAGGTCAACAGTTAAAAAAATCAAATTAATTTTTAAAAGGCTAGATACTGCTAATTTCTAAAATTGCATGGACTTACATTTCAGTTTCACCTGGTTTTTCAGAAGATACTGAAGCAATATAATACAGTATATATACAATAGATGAACAATACAACATCTTTTTCAACCTCTCATATGTATATATCTTTAAAGTCAGGTATATCCATGATGGTGGAATCCTCTGTTAGGACACGTACCTCCTCATAGTTCACGTAGAGCAGTGGTTCCCAACCTTGGGTCCCGAGAGGTTCTTGGACTGCAACTCCTAGAAATCCTGTTGCAACTCCTAGGAATCCTGGGCAGTATAGCTGGACTGAAGGCTTCTGGGAGTTTTAGTCCATGAACATCTGGGGACCTGAGGCTGTGAACCACTGACATAGAGGATATTTTGACAAGGGGCCAGTGATTCACCATGTTCTTTCCACCTTTGAAACATCTCCATGTACCAATGAACTCCATTTTAGCTCTTTCGAAAAGATAACCATGATGTTCTTTTGTGTTCCTCTTCTTCTTCTGTTGGGTTTTAGGTACGATTCCTTGAGCAGCAAAACAAGGTGCTGGAGACCAAATGGGACCTGCTGTACCAGCAGGGCACACCAGCCCTGAGGGACAACCTGGAACCCCTTTATGAGGCTTACATCGACAACCTCCGAAGGCAGCTTGACTCCCTCGTCAATGACAAGAACCACCTGGACATTGAACTGAAGAACACCCAAGAACTTGTTGAGGATTTCAAGAGCAAGTATGAAAAAGGGAGGGCTATGCAGGGCAAGGTGGGGTGGGAAAGCTAGAACCCTGGGCCAAGAACAGCAAAATGATGCCCCTCTCGGAATTGTTTCACATCCATATAGCAACCACACCTTAATACATCTCTTTTCAGTATCTCCATGGTAGGCTTTTTCTCTGTTACTAATGGTCAAGTGTCTTTTTCCCTCTTGCCCAAGCATCTGCTTTGTAGCCTCTTTTCCATGACAGCCATTTTCACTGCAAGCCCCTTTCCCCCTTCTCCTCCTCCTCCTCCTTTTTTTAGGAATTAGGGTTTTTAAAAAATTCTCTCTTAGGAGTTGCTTTCAATAGCTAATTTTTAGGCTCTCTAACTCCCCTTTGCGTATTCCTTCCATTCTCATCTTCCATTCCTCCTGCATTGCATGGACTCCCTTTGCCCAGCCTGATCTTCCACCCTGCTCTTCCTTCTACTAGCTTTTTCTCTTTGCTCAAGCCACCTCCTTTAACTCTTTAGATACGTAGTGGAGTAGTAGTTCTGGGATATATCTGGGGAGGGGGACTCAGCAAAGACTACCTTCAGTTTTTGCCATCTACAGAATTGTTTGCATGCTATTTCATTCTGTCCTTGCTGGTGGAAAAGAAGCTAGATTCAACATACTGTAGTAGTAGTAGTAGTAGCAGTAGCAGCAGCAGCAGCAGCAGCAGCAGCAGCAGCAGCAGCAGTACTTATGAGATATTCTTTCTAACAGGTATGAAGATGAAATCAACAAACGTACAGCTTGTGAAAATGATTTTGTGGTGCTCAAAAAGGTAAGCAGCATGGACTTACAGGAATGTACCCCTGGAATGATCATTCTTAACTCGTACATACTCTTTTCTGGAAAAGAACCATCCACATATATTTGAGAACCTGTCTATGTTGTTGAAGGCTAAAACATGACTTTTCTCACTTTCCCAGCCACAGTGCATATATAGACATCAGGCACACCAAGTTTAGCAGTTGTGTTGAAGAAATTAATATTAGGGCTGAAATAAAATGTCACACCTCCACAATTCTGCAATTTTTCAATATTCTGATCAATAATTTAGACTGTAAATGTTTGAATCCTGATCGGTAGATCCAATATTAATTCTAACTAGGTACAGTATTTCAAAATAATTTTTAAAATCTTGATCAATGTTTAAATGTTTTTTTTCAAAAAATATATAAATTTGTATAGTACTTTAACTTGATTGTACAGTTTTACTTGTTTTGATCCCCCATGGGTCTGCTATGGGGAGAAAGGTGGCAAACAGACAAACAAATAAGTGGATCAGATCTATCAAAATGGATGAAAATCCTTTATTACCACTTATGGATGCTCCATTGATCTCGAAGGGCATATCCTAGTCTGGACCAAAATGGGATCTGGCCCACTGAGACCCTATGGCACGTATTGCTCTGCTGTGTCCCCCTGAGCTGTTCTCCCCTCTTCTGCTTCTGCTGCTGACTCACGCTTCTGTCTTTTCCCGCTCAGGATGTGGACAACACCTACATGCACAAGGTTGATCTGGGATCCAAGGCCGATTCCTTGATTCAGCACATCCAGTTCTTAAGAGCACTCTTTGATGTGGTGAGGAACATTTTATCCCCATTCTACATTCAAGGGGATGTATTATTAAACTTTTTTTTAAAAAATTATTTTATTTTTTACATAAAGGGTGACATAGGAACATGGGGGTTAGGGTTTGTGAGGGAAGGGGATTTGTGAGGGAGAGGGGAAATCATAGCATACTAATATCCAATCTATACCTATTGCCATATCAAATCCAAAATCATTCTATTTACTCTTTTCTGCCTTGTGTATAAGGTTCTCATTTCACTATATATATTCAGCTACTACCTGTTAATTCAGTCCATTTATAAAATAAGTCCCATTTTTCTGTTGCCCTTTGCAAGGATTGGTCCTTCATAACTTCCGATAAGATGACCATTTCGGCTATTTCCCGTATCTTTTCCATCAGATCTTCTTGTTCCGGCACCGCCGTACTTTTCCAATTTCTAGCATACATAATTCTGGCTGCTGTAATAATATATATAACTATATGTTCCTTTGACTTATCTATGTTATCGGGTATCATGCTTAATAGAAACAATTCTGGGGTTAGTGGTACTTTACAAAGCAAAATTTGTTGTAACATAACATGCACTCTTTTCAAGTATTTTTTCGCTACCCCACACGACCACCACATATGATAATAATTTCCCATTTGTGTTTCACATTTCCAACACTTATTTGATACATCAGTATACATCTTTGACAGTTTTTCAGGGGTCATATGCCACCTAAAGGGGATGTATTATTAAACTAATGTCATCATCCATTATGTAACAAAAAGATAAGTGTTTTTCCTTCAGCAATGAATCTTTTAGATACTGCATAGCAAAATCTCAGAAAAGTTGGTGAGGGGGATGAACTGTTGACTTGTCTGTTACCTGATTAAAAGAAAAAAATCTGTCTTCTAGCTGGCCTTTATTTTAACATGAGTGTAAATATTATCTGCCATTCTGAAGGTTGGATGGAGGTGAGGCTCTTATGTGGCAAACTTGGCATGGTATATTGTATTATCTGCATGCAGAGATACATCATGCCTGGCATGAGAAGACACAGCCATCACAGGTGTGAGAGGCAGCTCTCTTTCCCCTGCAACACTATCCTCAAATGTAGCCCTTTATTTTTTTTCCATAAAGATGAATGGCAGACCTTGATTTACAGGGTGAGGAGATAGATAAATACCCACCATTTTAAAAGATGAAAATATTCTTAAGAATTAAAATTGTATTCAATAAATGGCTCACTCTGAAATTATAAAGAGGGGAAAGGGCATGAATCATGAGGGGGTGGTAGAATTATTGCATTCTGATGGTTGTGTGACTGGGTAGGGAGGATTCATCACACGACTGGTGCCTTCCTTTTCTACTGTTCTTTTTAAATCAATAAGTTGCTTTGAGCATTTCTTTCAATAGAAAGGTGTGATTATAAAAAAAAGAGACTATATGAACAAATACAGATGGGGAAATGTGTTACCTTTGCTTTCTTCACATTCCGATTGTTTACAACTCAGGTTGTTTCCAAGTCAGATATGTGGATTTTGCTAAATTCTTAAAAAATGGACTAAGCTGAACTTCTCTGCTCTGGGCTTATTCACTGGGTACATCTGTTTTAAAACGATTGGTTGTTATATAGTTTTAGGCTCTTGTGAGAAACCTTGGGTCCCAATGGGGAGAAAGGCAGCATATCAATAATATAAACAAACACATAAACAAGTAGGTGGGATCATGTTATGTCTAGTGGAGGTTAGAAATAGGAGCCTGCCAAGGGGAAAAAAGTAAAAGAGAAAGACAGAAAGAATGATACAACCCTAATTCAGTGCTGACATTATCCAATACATAACAGGTTTGTATTATTCAATACGTAACAGATTTATATTCTTATTTAAGAATACTCACAGACCTGGGCATGGATAAATCGTCTAAAACACTGTTGCTAAATATTATGCTGTATACGGCTGGTGACATCAGGAGTAGCATTAACATTTTTGGGGGAGGAATTAAAGACTTCCTCCTCCTGCCCCATGGCCCCAAAAGCCTTGGGAACTTTGGGGAGAATTGGAAATGTTTAATTTCAGAAAGATAATGGATGGTGATGATCTAAACAACCTTATGTGGTATAATTTGTAGCAACAAGATTTCAACCAAAAATTTGCCAATTTCTGTTTCTCCTCCACTCTGCTACATTCTACATTTTAAAGCGTTTCAAGTTCTTTTCTCCCTAGATATGGAGGAATGTGGAACTTCTGGTAATTTACCACAAAAACAAAACTGAAATGAAACCTTCCTGAGATCTATAAATTGCTATTTGTGTCAAAACAACATAAAACCTGACAAAGAGGGGGCTCCACATGGTAACTGAAATCTTTATAATTGCTACAGGAACTCACCCAGGTGCAATCACAAGTAAAAGACACAAATGTTGTCCTACAAATGGACAATAACAGAGACTTGGACTTGGACAGCATCATTGCTGAAGTCAAGACTCAGTATGAAGACATTGCCAACAGGAGCCGAGCTGAGGCAGAGGCATGGTACCAGAGTAAGGTAAGATGAGCCTTTTGTGCAGCAGACAAACTTATATTTTCTCCAAAATCCACGATTCAAAAACTGGAATCTCTGAGCTGTTCCAAAATTCACATTCTACTTGAAAGGAACTGTAATAGATTTTCTCCCAGACCTTTGCCCCATCATTATCAGGACTGTTTAGCCAGTACAGTATTTATCTTTTTAAACAGTGCAATCCATCCCATAATGTTTATGGAAATGAAGTGGATGGTCATACAAATTTCTCCCCCACCTTCCCCCCCCCATGCCCTTCATTTTTTCAGCATTGTGTCTTCCATTTTATATTGTACTCCTGAGGGCAGGCCTCCCTTACCCCTGCACTGCAAACTATTCTGGAAGCCTCTTGTTGTCCCCTTTCCTTCTTTCCTTCTTCCCTCCCTCCCTCCCTCCCTTTTGGCTGAATACAGGGCATAAATGCAATATAAATGTGAGATAGACAGACAGATAAATCTCTTTTCCTCTCTCCCACCCTCTCTCTCTCTCTCTCTCTCTCTCTCTCTCTCCCTCCCTCCCCCACACGTATACAGAAAAACATGCTGCTGTATGCTATTTATGAGATATATAATGAGTGTCCCTTTGACCTGTGGGTCTCAGTTCCAGGAGTTGCAAACTTCGGCTCAAAGGCACGGTGAAGACTTGAGAACCACCAAAGACGAGATTGCAGAGATGAGTCGGGTGGTCCAAAAACTTCGCTCTGAAGTTGAAATAGTGAAGAAAGCAGTAAGATACCACTTTTTATCTCCTTCTGTCTCCTCCCCCACCCCAAATTCTTTGACTGTGATTGGTTTAGAGCACAACGGAGTTTTAAGACCTAGTTCAATTCATAGTCATATTCTGGAGTGTGGGTTGGACTTGATATAGTGAAGTCTCCAATGTTGTAGGACACTGAATCTATTCTGGGTTTTAATCTGACCTTTACAGGACCTATCTGAAATGCTGAAGCCTATCCCCAAAACAGCTCCAGGCCCACTAGGTATCTCCTTCAAAGTTTGGACCCAGAACCCATTCACTGTTTCCAAAACATCACTCAGGTCATCAGCCTCTTCTGGCCAAGAAAGCATTGAAGATGAATTCAAGTTCTGCACACATCTGTCCCTTGCATTTATTGACCTCATCCCTTGCTCTGTCCACAGAGCTTCTATTCCAGTTAGAACTAGAGAATCGCTCCCTGCACCCAGGAAGCACTCGCACATTATTCCCCCCTCCTTTAAAACCAGTGATTGTTCCATTAGTGACAAAAGGGAACTGCAATATACACGAGCAGGGAGTGAGCAGGGGGAGGACAGCTTGGGATTGAACCTAAGATGTTGGTAGGCAGCTTAGTTTAGAATCATTGATTTTTTACACCTAGGAGCTAGTTTGGATAGGAGGTTCTCTGAGTTGTGGTCCAAATATTATTTAAAAATAATTAGAAAACCTCAAGTTCTGGTACTAATGATCTGCTTGGTAGGGTCAGCCCAGCGCATGCATAGAAAGTGCCTCATGATGCCGAAAGCAAAGTAATGATCCCATGGAACTCCTCAGCATCCTGGAAAGGAAAATCTGCCACCTATTGCTTTTCATGGGATTTGGGCTATTATGTTGGCAGAGCCCACCGATGGTTCAAGTAAAACAACCCAAAAGATCTTAGCCCTTTGGGCCACAGCCTTCTGCCTCCTCTCTCCTCTGGAACAGCATATGAGGAATGAAGTGAGAAGCCAGCTGTGCACGCAAGGGCTAACAACTAGGCCTCCATTTCTCTTTCAGATTAACAACCTGCAATCGTCCATCGCAGAATCTGAGCAACGTGGAGAGATGGCCCTCAAAGATGCTCGGATGAAACTCATCGACCTACAGACTGCTGAAACAAATTCCAAGGACGAGTTGGCTCGCCTGCTGCGGGACTACCAGGAACTGATGAATGTGAAATTGGCCCTGGATGTTGAGATTGCCACTTACAGGACACTGCTGGAGGGAGAGGAGAGCAGGTAAATTCTGAGCGGGAGCTCAGACCTGTGTAACTGAACGGGGAGCCTGCTGCCAAAGGTCCCTACCCTTGGGAATGGTTGGTGGATGGAATGCTGCTACTTGTTATGTCAAGAATCAAGAGCACTGAGCAGCTGCTGGTTTAGTAAGGGTGGATAGGACCATGGAGAGCTCCTTTAGCAATTCCATCGCTAAGGGTGAGATTTTCATATTTTCCAAACAACATATGCCATAGTTCTCCATTCCATGAGTTCTATTTACCTTACAGGTACCTAGTAAACAGCTGAATGTGATGCTCCTGGAAGAAAGCTCTAAATTAGAAGGCTCTGAGGCTTACATAAGTCAAGCCAGCTGAATATGATGCACCTGGAAGAAAGCTCTAAATCAGAAGGCTCTGAGGCTTACATAAGTCAAGCTCTACTCATATCTCTTGCTTAGAGAGAAAGCTCCCAGCTAACACCAGAACAGGAACAGGACACTTGGGTAGCTCTTAACCTAGCTAAGCCTCAAAGCTTTCTAATTTAGGCCTTTATCCTAGATTCATCACACTTGGGTGTTTGAAAAGCACCTGTAAGGTAGGTAGAACACCCAGAATAGAGGACAATGGGACTGGTAGTTCAGCATTTTATGCAAACAAATCTCATTAAAAGTACCTTTAAACAAGTGGATGTTTCAGGCTGGTGTAAAAGCCAAAAACTGATGAATCATGTATTCCTTGGGAAATTTGCAAGGGCCGTTGGGAGGTTGAGTACATCTCTTTTTGCTGTGATCCTCAAAGTTTTTTTATGCTTTTCTTCACCAATTGCGCCTTTGTTTTATTGTGATTCTCTCTAGGCTTTTATCTTTCGAGTTTTGTCAGGAAGTCATGTGAGATTGGTCTCACTTGAGACATGCATATATGACATCAAGCTTATTCTCCCTGTCAATGAGACAAATGGCTGAAACAAAGAAAGGGTACCTGCTGGGCTAGAATTTTTTGTTCTTAGTTTAATGTGCTGTTTCTTTTTTCCCCCATCAGGATGTCAGGCGAGTTCACAACTCCTGTCAACATTTGTAAGTATATACTGTGCTTCAGCATTAAAATCAGTTAGACAGCCTGTTTGCTCAAGTGTCCGAAAGATGTAGGGATGCAAAGACTACTCACGAAATGCATTGTTGCCATCAACATGATGAGACACTACAACAGATAGATTTCAAACCCTGGTTTTCAGGCAAGAGTGAGACAAGGGATTATTTATCTCTCTGTTGTTGTCGTGTTTTGTCAAGTCAATTCTGAGTCATGGTGACCCCTTCCAAGGTTTTCTAGTTATAAACTACACAGAAGTGGCTTACCATTCAGGGACAGTGCCGCTTGCCTAAGGCCAGATATGCTGATTCTACTCCCGGGAGGCCCAGTGGGGAATCAAACTCCCAACCTCTGGCTCCACAGTCAGAAACCTAACTCGTTGAGCTATCCAGCCAGTCATTTTTCTCTTTAGAGTCCTCCTGTTCGTTCGAATTGTCTCTGTGCAAAACTAATGTCTTTTTCCTTTGGAAAGCAAAGTACACATGCAGTAAGCCAAGGACAGCAGGTCAGTTCTTTAAAAAGATGCTTTTAATCCTCAGACTACCATACAACAATGCATAAGCTATTGTTACGTTACACCAATTGCTTTATTTGTGTTAAAGCATAAGTGGCACACAGTCTTCTATGATTTACATGAAACAACCTTTGTTCTTAACCTCTCTTTTTGACAGCTCCACCAAATGCTTTGCTCTTTTGTGGGCTGACAAGGAGGATTTTGTGAGTCTTCTTCTTTGCATACAAAGATAAGGAAAAGTGAGGATTTACATCTCTACTAATATGCGTTTCCACCCTTACAGCGGTAATCAGCAGTTCCAGCAGCATCGGTGGTGTTGGTGGTGGTGGAGGAGTCGGAGGATATGGAATCGGAGGAGGAAGTGGATACGGCGCCGGAGGAGGAAGTGGATATGACATTGGAGGAAGCGGGTTGAGCCTTGGCGGAGGAGGCAGTGGTGGACACAGCCACATCGGCATTGGAAGAACAGGCCGGTTTAGCACTGGAGGCAGCCTAAGTGGTTCGGGAAGCATCACTGGTGGGGGATATGGCTATGGAGGAGGCAGCTCAAGTGTGAAAATGGTGTCCTCCACAAGCTCAAGTAAAAGAATAAACCCCTG